ATCTCCTAGTTAGGTTGCAAGTATGGTGGCTAGTGTAGAACCCAGGCGGACTACTTAAATTAGGTACCAAAAGTACATATGTGGCTAGTTGTATCCTCGTGAAAATTGATGTAATATCGTATTTATCTGAATAAAAGCTAAGTGTCAGGGGCCTAAGTGGTCACCTTAATATTAAAAAAAAAAAATAAAAGTTGTTCATCAGGCCTTTTTGGTTCTAATAGTAGTAAAATCATTAAAATTAAATTAGTAGTTACTAAGATATATATATCCAAAGTTAGTTAACTTTTGTTTATTTTTAAAAAAAAACTATTAGCCTAATTTTAATGATTTTACTACCATTAGAACTAAAAAGGCCCGATGAACAACTTTTATTAAAATCAAAATAGATTTACTTAATAGAAATACCTTTTCTAGGTATTTTTTGATATTTGGAAGGGTGGTATTAACAAAAATGGGGGGTAAAAATAACAAGTACCTAAATTTTTTAATATAATATTAAAAAATCATATAAACAAAAAATCAATCCTATGCCTTATCAATTTCCTGATAGGTTTTAGCTATAAATAAATAATTTGTATATCTAAAATTCTAGTTTCAATACTAATATACAGTATAATATATATGTTTATAGTACTACTATACAGTATATTGATTCATTTAAATATTAATAAAAGTTTGGGGTAAGTACTATATCTAGAATATTTTTCTAAATATTAAAAAAAAAAAAAAACTTTTTTAATTATCTTCATAGTATTGGGTCTTCTATTGTTCATCTTTAAATAAGTTTTTAATGTTTATTCTGTATTAAAAAAAAAAAAAAATACACTAATAAGTACATTTGACTAGTAAAAATCAACTCAAATAATTTCCAAACACTGCAGCAAATTTACTATCTATACATGGAAACCTGATAAGTTGCTTGCCTAACTTCATATAATGAAGAGAAAGTTTCTTATATATTTTATTTACTAGTAGCCTTTTAAACTGTTCAATATGCTGTGAAGGTAAAGAAATTAAATAAGCAGGAGGTTGATTGTAAATTCGATGAGCTGAATTTTCATGCCATATAAGACCTTGAAATGTTTTATAAGTTTGTTGCAAATAGTACACAATTATTGGTTTTGAGCTAAAGCAGGTTGCCGTTTGTAAAGCAGTTGCCATTTCAACCATTCCTGTCTTAAAAGATTGAAGAATTGATTCGGTAAGTCAAATTTTTTTTGTTTACAATAAAAGTACTTTTTATTTATTATTTATTACATATCTTGCAATAACCAAAACTCATTAGTTCATAGTGCGTCTCATTAGTTTGACGTAATAAAAATAGTCTTTTTAATAACGTTATTGTCGGCGAACAAATTTTTTTGGGGGTCGGTCATTGTTTGCCGATTATGACTAATTTAAAAAGTGGGATTACACAATCAAAATAAGGTTAAAAAAAGCCCCAAAAATGAAATCAGCTAATATGTACTAAAGTTTATCACTGTTGAATATCAAATCGGCCATATAATCATTCGGCCAATTTTTTACTAGATACAGTATCCCAAAATTACTGTAAAAAATTGGTTTAAAAAGAGGGTTGAGAATTAAAACAAAATGTAATGTGAATTAACATCAACAATAATATTGGCGAATTTTATTGGTTGAAAAAACGGCAAATTAATTATATTTATATACCGAAAATTTGTTATAAATGGAGCACAAAAAAACCGCAGTGATAAACAATCTTCTATAACAGGAATTACGGAATTATACACTTTTTTCTTAATTTTTTTTTTTAAAACAAAAAATGTCGGCTGAACGGGAGAAGAGAGCGAGATTAAGGTAACAACTAATATAGTCGCTCATTCAACATTACGCTCAGACCTATTTTCCACTTATACTAAATTTGTATAAACTCTATAACTCTGACAACCTTAAAAAATTGTTTTCAGCCATGCCTGTGATCGTTGTCGAAAAAGACATGTTAAATGCGATGGGGATTATCCTATCTGTGGAAACTGTAAATCCGTTAACGGCGAATGTAGCTATAGTCACCCAGGCAGCAAACGGGGTTATGTAGAAACAATCGATGATAGATTGAGCAAGGTATTTTATTAGCGATAGTAGTTTTCGTTTAATAACTATTATAGTATCATTACATTCTAAACCAACTAGATTGAACAAGTTTTAACGAAATACCTGGAAGGTGCCGATGCTCAACAGCAAAGTATTATTAATAAATCCCCAGATAAATCTATTGAAAATCCAGAGGTTGACGTGCACGAAGCTGTAAATATGTCAAAATTGCAAACAATTGCGCTAGTTGATTCAATGTCTTCACTTTCATTGAAAAAAAGTAGTAGATTTATTGATGCTGTAACTAAAGATGATCAATCCGAAACTAACGATGAAGGTAGTAACATTGTTCTCGAAGAGTTCCAACGATCCGTTGAACCACCACTTCCAGAGTCTTACAGAGGTCCACAAGAATTACCTCCAAAAGATCTGTTTGATCATTTGATACAAATATTTTTTACTCATGGATATGGAACACGAACCCCACTTATACACAAACAAACATTTCTCAAAATGCTTAAAGAAAAAAGCAACCAGCCTTCTATTTTA